CAACCGCTTGGACAACGCGGCATCCCGACCGGAGGGCCGCTCATATATACTGAAGGTTCGCTGCCAGAAGTATCCTTTATGGACGACGCCACCTTCCACTGTGCGCTGCGCATCGGTGCGCGCGTAGAGACCGACATCTCCAGCATGCTGTCCATCACCAAGAATCGGGTATAAATATTCGGATTCGAACTACATCCAAAGAACACGAAGGCACCGCTGCAGATCGAAGGGGAGGCCAAGCAACGCACCAAAGCCAGGATATTCAAGAGCAACCCAATCACGTTGCAGAACGACTAGGGGAGGACCCGACCAGCACGGGCGCCAGCACGGCCGAGGTCACCACGCAAGGGGTCACGCTGGGAAGCGTGGTTGCAGCCGACGGCAGCGAAAGACCGAACTTAATGCGAATAATCATTGACCACCGCTCGGCCGAAGGGCCCCTGAAGAAGACAGTCTTTCGGCTGCAACAGGTGAACACCAAGGCCAAGACCCAATGCTTGGCGGCAATGGCTTACAGCAAGCTCATATACGACTGCGAGGTCTGGTGGCCGCTGACAGCGCAACAGCGACAATAGCTCCAGAGCCGACACATGGCCAGCCTAAGAGCAGCGGTAAGACAGCAACATAATGCACAATCAGCCATCCATGCTACTGACGACGACATCTACTTCAAGTGCGACGAAGTGCCGATCCACGTGTCAATTTGGAGGCGGAGGTTGCACTGCCTCGTGGGGGTGCTCCATGCGGACACGCATTACTTCCACATTTTGGTTGACGAACTGTGGGGCGACCCAAAGGCATGGAATATTCAAATAGAGGAGGGCATAGACTGGCTCAAGCTATTTCTGCGGGAAGACGAAGGGATCAGAGCTGACCTTCGAGGATTCGCGGGGTGGGCGCGAGGCCAGCCAGAACGTGCAGCACAGGCGCTGACTGCGCGAGCGTTGTTCAAATACCGCCAGTGGCAGCATGATATATACAGACGCCGAGCTGGGCAACGGCAGCTACGCCAGTTGGCCCGCCAGCGCGGCCTGACCACGCCCAACTTCGAAGGCAGATCAGCAGAAGAGCGCTGGAGATACGTCTGTTACGAATGCGGCAGGGGTCTGATGACCAGGGGCGCGTGGAAGCGGCACATCATCATGGGGCGCGCTGGTTGCGACCTAGCTGAGCGCCTGGTCAGATCCATTACTTGCCCTGGGTGCAGTAAAGATTTCATCACAAGGTCGCGCGTCCTGAAGCACCTCGGGCGATGCACCAAATGCCTCGCGGCGCTGCAAACGATGGAAGCACCGTTGGACCCAGGAGAAGCGGCTGACCGACGAGAAGAGGAACATTTGCAAGCGGTCGCGAGAAGGGCACCAGGGCACGGGGCGACAAAAGCACTCGCACCAGTCCAACAAGTTCTGCGCTTGAAGCTCGCTGGCCTCATCGACCAAGACCAATTGCCGAGATCACCTCTTCCACCAGAAGCCGCGAGCATCGAGCCCGAGGCACCTCGTTACCTCAAGACCGCTGGTTTCGACGACCATGTTCCTACTGCACCTCTTCTCGGGAAGGAGGCGGGTGGGGGACTCCCAGCGCCACTTCGAGATGCACGCAGCCTGCTGCAACCTGGTGGCGCTCTCCATCGACGTGCAGGCCGATCCCGTCAAAGGCGACCTCGCCAGGCAGGACGCGCTGGCTTTCTGGGTCAACGCTATAAGGGCTGGCAAGATCTTCGGCATCCTGGCTGGACCACCTTGCGAGACGCGGTGTGCACGCCCTCGAGGGGAGAGCACCGCGACCCTTCAGAACCCGCGAGCACCCGCGGGGCACACAGGCAGCCGACCAGACATAATTACAACAGCTTGCATTGGGCAACGACCTCTACAGAACGGCCATCTTACTCATCACGACGGGCCTGAAGTTCGATGTGTCAGCCATACTCGAGCATCCAGAACCTGCCACCTGGCGCCCGCAAGCACCGAGCAGCTGGCATAGAGCGGAGACAAAGTGGCCATCAGAACAACACAGCGTGGAACTCCACTACACCGACCAGCGCCAGTTCGGACAGACAGCGCAGAAACCAACATGCCGACCCGCAGTGCATCTACGCGAATTACGGCAAGTCGGGGGGCAGGCATGCACTCGCAACGGACATGGCCCGGCTTGCGGGCGTGATGACAGAGGCGGGTGGAAGACGGCGCCACTCAAATAATACCCGTCGTAACTGCGCAGAGCCATGGCGGCGGCTTTCGCGGCTTGATGGGGACAGTTGGCAGACGACAGTGCGCCGTGGGCCATGGACGACGAGGAGTATCGCAACTTCGACGCACCACTGGACAACTATGCAGAGACTGCAGAGCTGGGCCACGACTGCCACAGGGAGCGAGCACCCCGAGGGCGTTAACAGGTACAGGCGCAGTCCGCGCATAATGGTAAATACAGGCGGCCGAACTCACTACACACCGCACCTCCACCACTCCAAACAATTCCAGCGATCGGACCTACAGCTACC